TTATTTTTTGACGAGGTGTGTTTGATGCTGTATAAGATGATAAATGCATGTGACGCATGTTCTGTGTTAATGTTTTATATTTGTTATGTCCATTACAAGAAGTATTTGTGGAATGATCTTCTTATTGCTATCTGGACAGCAGAATCCAAGACAATATTCAAGAAATGGCTGAAACTTATATTTTCCGCCGTATTTAACTACAGTCTATTGTGCAGTCTACGCTTTAACTATGTATTATATATCTCATATCTATTATGTACCTTGCACTAGACAAGGCAATTTATAAAAATTTGTATTTCAAGCACTTCTCGTGTTATTGCCTCCTTAAAAACGCTTCCTCATTTGTAAGTTGAAATAATAATGCAAATGGAGTAGACACTAGAATATTATTAGTTAATTTTATTGAAAAACAATAAAGAATATAAAAATGTCAAAGTGCAAATAACCAAGAAAGTAATGGTCAACACTTAAGAAAAATAAATGAATTACAATATTAATTAACTAATTAAAGGGATACACCACCGTTCTTTCATATTAAACTGTTATTCCCTTAACTAAGATGAGTTGATGCATACCTCTCTCGTCTCAGTGCGTGCACTAAATCGAGACACTAATAGCACTTAACTAGCCCAGTTTATTCATTAGGATCAAAACGCCGAGTCTCAAGCACTTGCTATGGAATTTCGCCTTACATTACAGTTATCCACTTTACATGCTTAGAAAAGTGCAACTTTTTATTTTGTGTCACCATTCTTGGTCGAGTTACACTGCTCGTGTAACTGTATTTAAATAGGGAAAACGTGGAGGTGTTTACTATCAAAGTGTCTCACGCCCCCTGAGACGAGAGAGATATGTATCAACTCGTCTTAGTTAACGGAATAACATATTTTAATATGAAAAAAACGGTGGAGTATCCCTTTAAGGATGAAGTAAAGAATGAATATGTAAAGTTCCAGTGTTTATGTGATTGTTAATGAGACAAGCTGATCATGATATGCCAGTAGAGCTCTGCTGCAGTTCACCTCGCTCTTACTGGTGTGTGTGTGTGTGCGTGTGTTTTCTCCTGCACACCCTCATTTAAATTAAATGTAAAAATACCACATGCACCAGTGATGTTTTTCTCTCATTTGCGATGTTCAACATGAGTTTCTCTTTTTTAATTACTTCATCGTGTACTCTTTTGTCCTTGTTTCTTTTCAACTCTTCATAATCCAACGTGATGGTCTTCATTAAGTCCCAGTGGGTCGTCACGGTAACAGCAGACACTAAGTTTCAGGGCCGCAATTAGATTTTGGAGTGCGGTGTGAGTTTCATGTGTCTTTAAGTGTCGCTGTGGTTCGTTGAATGCCATCTGTGTTCTGAATGTGTTCGTTCTGCTGGATGTTATTCTGCACGAATGAAAATGTTTCAGTTGAGTCGGTGTGGGGGCGGTTTGCCTGAAACTATTATCAGCTTTTGCTGAGTTTGAGTGACATTTGATGTGTGAAGCAAATTATCACGTTTTAGAAAAACTATGTGAAAAAAATGTGTTCTGATTGCACTGATCCTCACTGTGTCTGAACTTACAGAGATACAATAATGACGTTCAGAGAAAGTTCATTTCACCCAAATTATGAGGAACATTTATGCAGTAAGGAAACAGACAAAGCTTTTCATTCTGCTGAAAGAACTTGTCTCACACCCTAAACGCTTGAGTTTAATTCATTCCGATTGTTGTTTGGATTGATTAATTATCAATTAAAGCATGATCATCATCTTAATCCTGACACACTGCGTCGTCTGTTGTCTAACAGTGTGTGATTCCTGACAAACTAAAGAGATTCATGTTCCCTGAAGAAATCTTTGAGCTTAACCTATGGAATACTGGAGCGTTTGAAGACGTGAAGCTCACCAGAGAGTCAGCTAGTCTTTATCTCCTGAAAGGCTCGTCTGCATCTGATGTGAATCCTCTCACGTCACATGTAAAGCCCTGCGTAATTATTATTCTCTTTTGATTCAAATCCAGCTCAGCTCTATTTGTTTTCTTTCATGACAGCACTGAAGAAGAGATTCCACAAATAATTTCCTCTCCTTCTCATCCTGTGCTTTAATAAAACAGGATTCAGCCATCATCAGGAATGGCAGCATTTCTGGTCTCTGTTTTCCTCTGATGTGTCAGTACGGTGATGTGCATCTCACCCCTCACCGAATTCATCATTAGACAAATGCTTAAGGGCTTTGGTCCGACCTTGCTGTTAAAAACTTCATAAAGACTGAAATCATAGTCTGTCCTTCCGACTCGAGCTGAGAAGAATGCTTAAAGCTGGTCTTCGGTGAATAACATCTTCCATTTCTGTCTGTCCATCATATAAAAATATTGGTAACACTTTATTTTACAGTGTCCTTGTTACACAACACTATGTTACATGTACTTACCATAGTAGCAACAGTAAATTATGCATAATTCCGTGCATTTAACCCTTAACCAAATCCTAACCCTATGGTAAGTACATGTTGTTAATTAATATTACTCAATAATTAAAGGGTTAATTGACCCAAAAGTGAAAATGATGTCATTAATGACTCGCCCTCATGTCGTTCCAAGCCAGTAAGACCTCCGTTCTTTGGAACACAGTTTAAGATATTTTGGGTTTAGTCTGAGAGTTTTCTGTTCCTCCATTGAAACTGTATTCACGGCATACTGTCCTTGTCCAGAAAGGAAATAAAGACATTATCAAAGTAGTCCACAAAATGAACAAATCTTTTTCCCAGTCAATTTGTTCGCTTCGTTCATTGAATGAACCAAATGACTCAGAAAAATATTCGTTCATTTTGATGAACGAGTTTGAACAGGAGAGTCAAAAACGTGCGTCACAGAACAGAGCAAGGCGAGCATTTGAGCTTATAAAACTTAAACTTTATTATTTATTTATTAAATAAGCGACCGTTTTGCTTGATAAGACCCTTATTCATCGTCCGGAATCATTTAAAGCCCTTTGAACAGTTTGCAGTCTGTACTGAAAGTGTCTTTTGGACCTTGAACCGTTTGGTTCCCAGTGAAGTGCATTATATGGAGAAAAATGCAGGAATGTTTTCATCAAAAACCTTAATTTCTTTTTGACTGAAGAAAGAATGACATGGATATCTTGGATGACATGAGGGTGAGTAAATTATCAGCAAAAGTTTTTTTTCAAAAGTGAACTACTCTTTTAAAATAACGTGTAACCAAAATATTAAATGGATACTGTTATGGTATACCTTTTTGGAGCTCGACAGACTTTGGTCACTATGAATTGGACTGTGATTAAATTGAAAAAAAGAATGATGAAGATAATTCATCCCTTTGTGTTCCAAGAGGAAAATACTAGGATGTGAATGACACAAGGTTGAGGATAGACTGTTAATTTTTCGATGAACTGCACCTGTGCAGTGTGCTGACCGCTTTAAATGTGCATGCATAAATCACAGCTTGTTGCTAAGGAAGCAGGTTCTTATCTGGTAATTTGCCCACAGTAGAACATGGTGGTGAGCAGCTTTTTTTTTTTTTTTTTTTTTTTTTTTTTTTTTTTTTGTGTATTACTTTAGACAAGCCCGAGGAGGCTTGTCTGTGATCGCTCTGCCTGTCAGGCAGTTTTGAACATTAACAAGATGTGTTCCTTGTCACCTCAGGCTGTAAGAGAAACTCCTACACACTCTTTGAGGGAACTTGGATAATCCTATTCTATTCATGAAAACGCATTGCCTCTCGGTCTCAACCAGCCCAGTATAACTTTTAACGCCTGACGCACTGGATGCCGCATTGGATGCTGTCTATTGAAAGCTTTATCAATAAGCATAAACAAACACAAAGCAAAAACACAAGATGTGTATGAATTCAATGATGGGGTCACTTTCCATCAACTGAGATCCTTTTATCTGACAGATTTTTGAAGGCAGCATAGATGTTTCCATCATTAGCTGTGATATCCCATAATCCCATGCATTTGATTTTGTGACATTTGACCTAAAAAAATGAAGATGGCATCTGAAAGTTTTTTGTGCAAATGTATATTTTACTAACTTTTTCCACTATTGATGTACTTTTTATGAAATTAGTAATTAAATATTCACTTAGTTTTGACCAAAGCTCTCTCTTTTGTTGTAGATTGTTGTGTGTGTGTGATTTATCAACTGCATAAGCAGAACATTTTCATCAGCACAAGAGTTCAACAAGCGAATTTGACATAAGCAGCTCTGCGTCTCTTGTTCCTGCAGTCGGCCGAGGGGTCCCAAACAATGAGGGCCCCTTTCACAGGCCAATAGGCTCCGCAAAGCACATTAAGTTAGTTGTGATTTGAAAAGGCCAGATGCTACATCTAAATAGAAAGAGGGCAATCTGGATTTCATAAAGCGTCTCTCTGCCCATCGTTCGAGAGCAACCTTCCCATCTGTTTCTATCTGAAGGCATAGCAGGCCTCGCACACAATTCACACACGTTTGTGCTTCCTCTAAAAGCGTGTGTTTGGATTTGTGTTATTCTCCCAAATGTCTGTCTGTGGATTAAATTAACTACTGTGATTAGTAAACCCATGGTCGCACACAAAGGCTTCTTGAAAACCATTAAATACATGCACAGTTGCTTTGTGACAGTGTGAATGGAAGGAGATATTTTCCATCATAAGATAATATCAGCGTACAGCTTACAATAGTCACAGACCAGACACATCCATCTCTTATGTGCTGCAGCCTCTTTTATTGTGTCCAATTAGCACATAATAATGATGCGAATGAATGATGGTCTTGTTTGTCTCATGAATCGGGTTAAATTCATATGCACAATGTATGAATGTCATCTTTTACAAGCTAATAAACACTTGTGTTTGCTGTCAGGTCTGCAAGACGATTTTAAATGCTTGTTTTTGACAGCTCTTCATCACCATTACAAACACACAGACCTCTTTAAGAAGCCGCATGCTAGTCTGTTTGTGTTTTTCAGAAGCGCTTTAACCTGTTCATGTGTGTTTCTCTGTATTGTCCTACAGATTGGAGAAAAGCAGCATGTCCTGGTCACTGAAGAGTCCTTTGACTCCCAGTACTACGTGGCCCACAACAAGTTCTATGAGCAGGTACAAATTGACTTTTTATTAGTGTTAATTTAGTTTCATTGATTGATACTATGATTTTTTTTTTTTAAATATTTTTATTTTTATATTTTCTGTTTTCATTTTAAGTTGAGTTAGTTTTAGTAATTTTAGTATCTGTTTTTGTCTTTTTTTTTTTTAAATATGCCCATATAGATTTTTATTGTTTATTTCAGTTTTAGTTACTTTTGTACATCAACTTGAACTAAATGAAAATGAGAAATGGTGCTCTTTTAACTTTAGCTGAAATTAAACGAGTTTACATTACACTTTTATTTTATTCCAAGTAATGGAATTGTTTCTTTATAATCACATTTGTCTTTGATATAGTAATTATTCTGCTGAACTACAATAGTAATAATGTCTGAACTACTTTGTGGTTCATATTTTTTTGTGCTAGTCTGATGATTGTTCATTCTGTGTTGATGAATGCAGGAAAGTGAAGAATTTTATTGACAGATATTTCAAACGTTTCCACGTCAAAAGCCAAGGTTTAAATGTCACTTAATTAAATTTAATGTTTAAATTTAAGATTGAGCATACATATGTAACCTTTGGCTAAAAGTATTAAGAAAGCCCGACAATGCCACCTAGGTTACTTCACTACTCAGGAAAATAAAGTAAAAACACAAAAGATGATGTCAAACCCTTTTCATGAAACAGTCAGCCACATGGACTGGACTGTTAAAGTTCTGTATGAAACCGGCATAGGAAACAGCAGCTAATGCTCTCAGGCCACACCTGAAATACAAATGTGGTAAGAGCATGAATAAACATAATAAATTCCGACAAAATTACAAAAAAAAAAAATAAATAAAACAATACTTGTCTTACCTCTGAGATAAAATTCTTACTCTATAGTGGGCTTTATGCTAACTGTTCTTGCCACACATCCCTAATTACAATTACATATTTAGACTGTGAATAGTGACTGTAAGAAAGAGCAATTAATCAGGAAACTCACCAGGGAAAAGTGAGAGGAAGCCGACAGAGACCTTTACTCCCCCCAGAACATGAACACACGTAGGAGGAGAATGACACCACCACACTTAGACATGCTTTTATAAAGCCACTAGATCCTAACACGCCTCTGTGATTGCATCGCACAGGTGTGATCAGTGTCAAGACTCAACACCAGTGGACATGTCTTCCCATTTGAGATGTACAGAAATATTAAGATGGTAAAACTAATTCGAACCAAGAGTCAGAGAAAATATTAGAGACACTCAACCTGTCATACCTACAAGAGGCATAGACAAATATACTGAGCTGATCAATGGTATTAATGATTGGTTAATTACTGAGCAAGCCAAAGGCTAAATACAAATCATAGTTATTCTATGAAATCCGACTGCAAACAGTCATCTTGTAAATGCGCTTAGTACAATTCACTTCAATATAAAATGGGAAAAATGCTCAGCTGCAATGAGTTTGTGTCCAAGTAAAAAAAAACATACTTTTAAGACATCTTCAAAAATATCATGAACACCTGTGTTCCGAGTGTTTGAAGTGTACAGTAGATGTTTGCAGGCTTGTCTTCAGGCTAAAAGCTTCTCTATAAGTGTCACTTTTTTCTGGAGAATTTAGTGGTTTGATCATATTTCCCCATGTGAAAGATTTTACAAGGTGTTATTTAAGTGATTTGTAAGCTGAAGAAAATGTTAGCTTTTATCCAGAACATCCATCACTGATTATGAACAGAGCAATGTGTTGGGGGGAAATGGTCCTTTTAACTTGTAGATCCATAAGGTCTACAAAACGAATGTAAACCGAACAAGATTGTGTTTTCTAGCCCTCACCTCATATGTACTGCAGAAATACAAGCAGCAGCACTATTCCAGCATTTCCCATCATGACCCGGTGCCCTCGCTGCATTTTCAGGCTGACGTGATGATTGACGGTCCATCTACTTTCAGAGCTGGCTTTTCCCACTGCTCAAACAGAGTGTTCTTAATAACGTTTTTTGTTCGACTAGCTTCTCATTTGAAAATCCCTTTCAGAGACGTTTGTCTCCAAACAATGCCAGAATCACCTCAGAGTTAAAGAAATAGTAATGAAAATAATGTAGTGATTTTCTCACCCTCATGTCACTTGACTTTCTTTTTTTCAAGTGTAACTTTAGTAGAATTGGCCATAGAAATTCTAAGGCCATGGTGACTGATGTGTTTGGCAATGTTTTATTTCCACTACTTTTTAAATGCACATGTCTTCATGCATTGTTATAAGCCATTGGTTTCCTTTCTAACTAGTTAATGGTCTTAAGTGAGACAGATGATATCATAAAAAAGTTGTTTCTGATTGAGGGAGAGCTCAGTGGTGAGCACAGACAAGCGCAGTGCTGCGGCTCTCAGCTCATTGAAGGTCATGGAGGTTACCCATCCCGCCAGCTGCCATTGATCCTTCCATTATAATGGCCAGCAGAAAGCCATCTCCAGTGCCATTGATTGAGGATGGGGCTGCACATTAAAGGATGGGAGGTCTAATCTGGGGTGCAAGCCCTCTGTTTTATTTTCCTCCCTTTGTTCTCCTTTTCCTTCTCGATCTGCAGTCTCTAAGCTGGAACGCTCTCCAGAGTGTTTGAGACGTGACTGACCATCCATCAGAGAGAGCCCAGCTTTACTCAACGGATCACCATGAACACGGGGCCGATTAAGGGCTCTGGTTGTTTGGGGCTTAAGCCTAGTCTGTCTTTCAGCTGCCAGCGCTTTGCTCAGACTCGCCAAGGACAGCAGCGAGCAGGTTTAAGCATAAATGAGTGAAAACATCTGCCAGCACCATGAGATATTTGAAAACAGGCCTTGATATCTCGTTGGGGGAAATTTTGTTTTAATTGACTGGAAATCAGTACAAGAATTAAGAATGATCTTTTGCAAGAGAGCAGTGTGTTGTGAGCTCCTACTATTGTTTACTGTTGTTGTTCACCTGTTTGCACTCAACTACAGATTCCTTATTCCTTACAGCAAAGGTATTCTAGACCTCATTGGTTCACTCTTATCATGGGTTCTCCATATGGGATTTATACCAACAGCCTTTCAATTACTGGCTCATATCTTAAACCACTATATTGTTTGTTACTCTACACACTGTGATCTCTGCTCCACTAAGTATTTGGTGTGTTCTCCACCATGTGCATAAACCAGCAGTTCTTCTGTTTAAATCACAGCCAACCAAACAGTAACCAGCCACACTCCTCACCTCAGCATGACGTCCTGGTCCTCCACCATCCTGCTCATGTGTTCTTCAAGCACACGTTCACAGTGTTCAGCAACAAAAGTGTGCTTTCAAAAAGATTCAAGAGAAGACCTAAGAAGACTTCAAAGAAACGCTGCCTTGTCCTTTGCCACAGGGTCTGAAATACCCTTTTAGTATGAGAAGCGTGATGTTGACATGATTAGCAATTTCCAGCAGAATGGGGACCACCCTTAATGGGTTTCAAGTGTGCAAGGACACATCTCAATAGAGAACAGACAAAGACGCACGGGTATTTTATCTCCCACCTTAAAATGTTAGTATTTGACCTTCAGGGTTTGTGTAATTGAATGAAAAAGTAAATGGAAAAAAAAAAAATTCTCCTATTAAAGTATTAAAATTCATGGCACACGTTGGCCAGGGCAGAGATGGAGGAAAAGGAAAACACATTTATTTCCCCAGCCTAATTGAAAACATATTCGACAGATCCTCTGATACGTTGGTGTTTTGATGAATCATAATACGCGTTAAGCTTCTGCAGAGCCTTTCATGTCTGGGGAGACAGGTTTTTATGCTCCAAACTTATCTGCCGCTCAGCGTAATGAAGGCAATTTCAACGTAAACCCCTATAGATCCAACTGCACATCTTTTTAATCCAATTCAGCCTCCATGCCTGGACTGATTCATCTCCCCTTACACCTTGTGCAGATCTGAGGTCTCAGCGAAATGTGTCCGACACTCTGGGATTAGAGGAGTGTATGGTGACCCGGCATCAAGAACCCAACGGCACATGTGATCATGAAAAAAAGATGCTTGTTTGTCTTTTTTTCTTTCTTTTTTTTCCACTGGAGGAAACCAATAACAACTTAGATGAAGATGGTCAATGGGGTGCTCACAAGGTCATAACAAGCTTCTTTTATGGAAATGCACAACACGTCCTGAGGAGCATGTGAGAACATTTAACAAGCAGTTTAAAATTTATGTGTGGAGTGGATACGGTGGAAGGCATGTTGTGAAAGCAATGAGCAATGGCACGGCTGTTTGATCTGTCAAATGCTATTGATCTCCAGTATTACAGTATTACACATTCACTTTAATGGTGTGTAATGTCAGTTTAAAGTGTTCAATATGATCGTGGATCTAAAGATGAATAAGAATTCATTTGTGAGCTATAGATTATATTTGTTGCTAAACCTTGTAGACACCCCTGCTTTCCTAATTTTATGTTGTTGTTTTTTTTTTTGTTCATGATGCTGTTTTGTATATTTTGTTAGAATGAATTTACAGCTTTTAACCTCAAGGAACTGACCGTGTAAAATGTTCTTCTTCATGTATCTGTAGGTGCTGGTGCCGAAGAAGCCTGAGTTCAAAGGGAAGATGATCGAAGTGAATATATATGAGGCTGGGAAGCACTACATGAAGGGACGGCCAGTGGAGGATGCACAGGTCTTCACTCCCTCTATTGCTCAGCCTCTTCAGAAGGGCCAGGTGTCTGGACTCCCTCAGGTCAGTCTACTTGACCATGTCTTATCGGATTAGCTTGTTCTACGTCTTTATTCTGAAGATGGTAAATTGTGACTGTGGGGTTTTAAAAGACTATTCATTTTGAGTAATATTATCCATTTGACTGCACTGACACTGCTGGATGAGAAAAAAAACTGAATTGAGGTGAATAATGATATTGTTGTCTTTGGTAGAGCTGTTTATAGCCGAATTGAACTCATTTCCTTATTCATGACCTTGAAACATTTATTGAACTGAACTGAATCATCATTGAGCTGAATGATGACACTATTGTCTTTTAAGAACTACTTTAGAAGTTTGCATCATTAATTCTGATCCTGTTTATTACCGTGAAGCTGCTTTGAATCAGTCTGTATTGGATAAAGAGCTATAGAAATCCTCTATAATATTTCCCCTTCTTTACAATTTGCCTCATTTGTTGAGTATTGTTTAGGTGTTTATAAGCACAACAGCTTCAGATGCAGTCTGATAGCCTGAATGTGATGTAATGATGGGGTCCTTTCAGGGACCAGCAGAAGCTGGATGAATGAACAGTCAGTTGTGCCTAGAGCCTGTGATGGCCAATTGACCGCTAAGCTGCCAGAGAGTCTGTCTGAAGGAGAATGGTGTGAGCAGCACCCTATTTCAGTCTGTGTCTGAAGAGATGGACGTGACAGATTGGAGGCAGAGAATCCAGACTTCACACTCTGTTCGCAGTCTTTTACATTAGGATGAAGAGTGTGAAATTCAAAAAGCATGTTCACAGGATTTCATGAGTACATGAAGCCACCTACACACAAGAATCAACTATTATAGTTTGAGCAAATTGAATCTTGTACATTCTTTAAATCTCATAAAAGAAATTGATAAAACTGATAAAAGAAATGAGGACATCGCTATGAGGACAAGGAAATTTTCTCTGTGCTGTATCAATTTAAACATCATTTTATGCCTGTCAGCAGTGAGACTTACTGTCTTTATCTTGAGGTCTTCGTCTGGCTTGTTAAATAAAAGACCAAAAGGTTGCTGGTGTTTCCAATACAATAGCTCATTTCAAGCTGGTTTAAGCTGTTGGTTGGTCCACGCTGCTTGACCAGCCACCATCCTCCAAAAGGCACCTTTAAATGGATAGTTCACCAGAAAAAGATCATTCTGTAAGCATTTACTCATGTTCCAAACCTGTATGAATATCTTCCTTCTGTGGAACGGATATTTCAGCTTCAGTTTGTTAATAGAATTTTGGGCATGAGTGTATATGGCTTGACCATAGTTTTACGTTTACATTTAAAAGACTGTTTTATTCAAAGCAATTTACTGATGAGCTATTCAAAAAATGATTCATATAGAAAAGCAATTAATCTTAAGGTTAAAAAAATCGAGGTCATGGGGTCTATACGACCCCAATCGACATTTACTTTATAAAAAAAAAAGTTTCCCTTCATCTCAGTGGAATAAGATTTTGTGAGTTTTCATACATTATCTATCTATACACACACACACACAAAAAAAAACTGGGCTTGATTCAGTTGTTCTGAAGGTATGTAAAAAAAATGTTTACTCTTCTTCGGGGTCTTCGGGTCAATATGACCCCACATTGAAATGACTGGGAAATGTGAAAAAAAAAAACTAAATATATTTTCTTCATGTGTCAAAAAAAATAGAAAAAATTCGGCATTAACCTGACATTTTTTACACAGAAATGAAGGCCTAGTACTAGAGCATAAATGCAGTGAATCATAAAAAAATAATATTTCATATGCAAGCTAATGGTGTAGTTGAGGAATTGTGTGGTAAATGGATACAAAAGTACTTTATATCTCCAAAAACAGAGCATTAATGAGTAGAGGAGAAGTAAACAATTAAATATGATAAATTATTTGTATGATTAAAATTGTACATTTTTTGTACAATTACTCAATAAATTGTTGGGCTCGTATAGACCCCGAAGCCCAGAAGTGTAAACAGGAAATGAAGACCATTTGAAGGTTAAATTTGGCTGAAAGAGCAGAACAGCTGATGTGTGTGTGTGCGTGTGTGTGTGTGTGAGTGAGTAAGAAAACACATGCGCGTTCCATTTCCATTTCCTTTAAGCAGGTTTGACCACGCTAGTTTGTTTGTTTACCTACTAAAGGTAACCAGAAACTACCATTAGTTGTTCCAGTAATGCCATGGCTGTGTCTTGCATGCAAGCTGTTTTTCTAATTCACTTAACTCAAATGGTCAGCCAGATTATTGACCTGAGTGCCTTGGTCTGGATGTTGATATCAAAGGGTTTAGTCTTGCAAGTTTATGATTTGAAGGGTGAAAACTTGCACGGGTGAAGGGTGAAATTGGTGAGTATCCAGTTCTTAGTAACTGGCAAATTCATGTCAAATGAAGGAGCTTCTGTAAAATAAACTTATAAACTCTTTAATGAAGTCTAGTGCTCATGTCTTTCATATAGAACAGTGACTTTTAAATGAGGTGTGTCTGAAAGAGGAATCGTGTTAGCGAGATATTCTGCTGCCCTAATTATCTCTCCACACTCACTTCTCTGTTATTGCCTGGAGCTTCCGAGTGCTTGACTAGTGAACTTGGTCCAATATAAAGACAGCAGATCTCCACTACTTACAGAGTTCATTTTCACCATTAGACCTCCTTCAATTAAACTACGGTCCTGCTGCTTTATCACTGCCTCTGGCTGCATGCATATCTTCTCCAGCAATCCCAAGAAGAGGACAAATCCTTGTGCTTCCAATCCAAAGACATCTGGCATTAAGAAAGTTGATTGTTGTAGATTGTCAGAAAAAAAATCTTTATGCTTTTTCCTCCCATTTTTTTTCTTCAGAACTCCCTCTGTTAGATGACCATGACCACTTATCAGCGTATTTTTAATCTCTCTTTATTTCTCTTTTCCTCCTCTCTCTCTTTTGCGTTTAATGGCCTGCCAGGGCAGCAGTAAAATCTGATGGGGTGTGAAATTAAAATGTGTATCACATTTTGAAGGATCATTTGATGTCCTCTGTGTGGACGTGTTCTCTCCTCTCTAGAAAAATAACACAGCAGACACAAATTAGCACAAAATGACAAATAGAGACAGCCAGTCGGGTCATTCCTAGATCACTCATGGAGTTGGGCTTTCAAAGTATCTTCCAGTCGGGCTACCAAAATGTATCACCAGTTTGCCCAATGGGCTAAATATAGTCAAATAATTCTTTCCTTGATTTGCGTTTTTCACTCTCTTGACTTATCTAATTGATTGCAGGTCAATGAGAGAAAAATCATTAATGTGTACTGTTGAATTTAAAGACAGGGCAACAAACGTGCGTCATTCTTTGAAGCGCTGTATGTACTTTATGTAAATTAATAAAGCCTATATCTAGCCTTTGCTTGGGCTGAATGCATTTAATTTCTTGTTTGTTTTCGGGAAGTTGCAGTGACGTAAACAGTGTTAAGTCTGTGTTTAGGCTATTAATGAAATGCAATTTTGCATTTAAATATAAAGTGTAACATGTTACCATATCATCATGTTTAACATGCTTAACACAATTTTAATAATTGTAATGTACCGATCAGGTGTGTAGGGGAGAAAACTGCGGAAGTCGCTGACACTTGGTTGGTTGTGTGTGAAAAGGCACATAGATTTACGTTTCAGTTCCAAAAAAGAGGGTCAAGATGAAGAAGATAGAAATTCATAGAAACTTCAGTCCTTAAAAATAATTTATTAAAAAAAAAAAATGTATCACGCCTTCCACAAGAAATGACGTAGCACAACTGTTTTCAACATTAGAAATTCGAATTATTTCTGAAGCATCATGTGACACTGAAGACTGGAATGTCAGTTTTGCCCTCAAATTACATTTTAACATGCAGTATATTCACATAGCAAAGTTTTTTTTTTTTTTTTCTGTTTTTACTTGATCTAATAAATGCAGTCTTGCTGAGCATACGAGATTGAACAAATATTACGGACCCCAAACTTTTGAACAGTATACTAAATGCATATCAAATTCTGTCAACATTTATTTAGGTTCAGAATCTGTATTCACTAGAAAATCATCCTGTCTGTGCAAGCTCCCAAATCTATTCATATTTACGCATATTCAAACATTAATGAGACACGCAAAATCAATTGTATTTGCTGCCATTAATGTCATGAAGCTATAAATGATCAAATAGATACTTTAGTTTATTGTTTTTCATTGACAAAGACCAAAAAAACTCCCAGAAACATGTGGAAACCTGCTGGGCTCCAAAGCAGAGCTTCTCACGTGTTTCTGCTAGTGTAAATACACTGTGACTTGAAATTTCCCGTGCCCATGGCCATTTTGGTCCGCTTAAGTTGCTTTTCAGTTGCTTGTCAAATCCTCATATTGCTTTGAAGAGAGCAGAGTGACACAGATACATCATCAGAGAGATGAATCCAGCTTTGAATGCTGATTTATGGAGCTAGCTGTTACTCAGCTGACGGGAGGAGGAACAGGGCTGTGCCACTGCAGGTGTGTAGATGTCTTCTGGCACTGCATTACAACTGCACTTGCTGACCTCCAGCAATGATCCCAGACTGTGAAGTGCTGATCTCAGATCTCTGATGAGCAAGGAAATGTTGAACAAAGACATTATTCTGAACTTAGAGGGTGTGTTGAATGGTGTGATGGTGCCCTGTAACTTGGGAAGGAATCATCTGCCTTAGGCCCTGTCCACACTACTGTGTTTTCGTTTAAAAATGGAGACCTTTTGCTACGTTTGCACCTCCCGTCCTCACTAAAATGGAAAAAAAAAAAAAAATCGAAGACCTCAAATGGAGAAGTTTAGAAACACAGCTGCTCCGTTTTGCGTTTTGAATCTCCGGAGGGCCTTTTAATGAAGACGGGACAAAACGGAGGACTTTCGAAACGATGAGGCAGAGGCTCACGCTCGGCTCTATGATTGGGTGTTGTCAGTCATGATGTGTCCTTCCCTGATTCGTCAGCGCATGCCCAGTGTTGGTGAATGGTCACGTGATCTGTGGTTTCAGTCGTTTGAATGTGGACGGAGATCAATTCTAATATGCAGATAAAACGCTGGTGTGG